TACAACTGGATTCTCATCCGAATAATTCTACAACTGGATTCTCATCCGAATCTTAAGGGGAATGCTTCCAGATATGCTCCTACACATCGCTGTTAGGTTGCTTTGCCGGGATAATTTTCCTCTCTGAAAAGAATGCCTTGTACCTCCCCCCACCGGAATTATCGGACCCCCTTTTTCGTACTGCAATTTGCAAATGAATCTGCCCCATCGTCCATCCAGGATATGAACTCGCACCATCCCAGCCCAACCGGTATCGACCCCCCGTCATCCTCTGCAAAAATACAAATGCGCACACACTCGTTTATCGAAGCCCCGTTAAAAACCTTTGGGTTCGTAGCGGATACACGACCGATTGAGAAAAAACACTGCGTCGCAACGCCATGTTTGTTGTTGTGTCGCGCGCGCGCTCTTGCGAATTCTGCTGTCTAGCGATCTCATGGAATTCTGCCAAACGGGCCTCTCGCGCCGCATGTCGACATCATTCGCGCGCCCTCTCGCTCGCGGCGGCGGCGGGGCGCGCGGGGGTGGGAAGGGGAGAGGGGGGGGGCGCGATCCGCGTCGAATAATTTCGCGCGGGCCACTCGCGCGTCGGCCGCGCGCGCATGTCGAACTATTTCCAAAACCTTCATCGCCGACGCGAAGGCGCCGCCATTGTCGCCGGCGCAATCGCATCTGCGCCGTCACTGGCCGCGGTCGTCGCTGTCAGCATCGTCGCCAGCATCGCCACTGTCATCGCCGTGTCTACCGCTGTCGAAGTTGCCATGATACCGCGCCCGCAAAAGACGCCGACTCGCACTGAAGTGACCACTGCGATGCGCCCCGCTGCCAGCGCCGCCACGGTTGCGTCGGTCGCGCCAAGGTGCACGCGCGCGCGAATGCGCGGGCTGTCGCGGCCGCAGAGATGCACCGGCTAGAGCCGAGCACCCATCGCAATCGCCGCAGGATGGAGTTTGCGCGCCAAGCTGTGGGCGGGCGGGCGGGATGCTTGCGCGAGCAGCCGGGTGGGCAACTTCAAGTTGAGCGTTGATTAATTGCGCCGCGTAGATTGCATCACATAGGTAGCATCGCGTCGATTATCCTCGATTCTCCTTCCTGGAAAAGATTCCACGCCCCCCTCGCCCTGGATTATCGGTCGCCCCTTTCGCATGCAATGTGCATGCGGTCCTGCCCCAACGCCCATGCGAAACACGCGAGCTCGCGCCATCCCAGCCCGAGTGGCACCTACCCCCCCGCCATCCTCTGAAACAGATCATATGCGCGCTCGTTGATCAAAAACCCATAGTTTTCGCAAATCCCTTGCAGAAAGATGATGAAGTGCACGCGCGCGCGTCGTCGCGCGCGCGTGCCGGCGTCAGCCGCAATCCCCCGGCTTCGTATAGATTTCAAAAACGAGCACCCCAAAAACATATGACACGTGGTTTCGCAACGAGGATGTTCCAAAAACTGGCGCTCGCGCTCTTGCGAACTCATAAGAAAACATGGTTGACCATTGCCAGGGAATTTTACCACGCGGGCTTCGCGCGCGCGCATGTCGAAATCATTCGAACGCCCTTGCGCGCGCGCCGTCGCAAGAATCCTTCGAAGCGAAGTGCACGCGCGCGCCGTCGCGCGCGCGCGTGCCGAAATCAATCAAAAAGCTAATATTTCGCGAGGCTTCCAAAACCGAGCGCCGTGGCTCCAAAAAGTAAAGAAATCAATAGTTCGCAACATCAGTTGGCAGAGAAGCGCGCGCTCGCGCTCTGGCGAATTATTGAGAAGAATAAATATTGAACCTTTTCGCTGAATGCTGTCAGTCGGGCCTCTCGCGCCGCATGCCGAAATTAAATCCTGCGCGCGCGCTCGCGCGCCTGCTGGGGGGGGGCGCAATCCGCGCCAGATGAAACCACGCGGGCCACTCCTGCGCGTCGGCCGCGCGCGTATATCGAATCCCTTCCAGAACCTTCATCGCCGAGGCGACGGCGCCCCCGCGGTCGCCGGCGCGAGCAGCGCCCGCGCCGTCATTGGCCGCGCCGTCGTCGTTGTCCACGCAGTCGCCAGCATCGCCGCCATCATCGTCGCGTCTACCGTTGTCGATGTCGCCATGACGCGCGCGCGCCCGAGTCGCCGACTCGCACTGAAGTGCCCGCTGCCTTGCGCCCCGCGGTCAGCGCCACCGCGGCCGCGTCGGCCGCGCCGAGCGAGCTGGCCATGGCGCGGCCGCGGAGACACAGCGGCCAACGCCAAGCACTCAGAGCAATCGCCACCGCATTTGTTTTGCCGGCCTAGTTGCGGGTGGGCGGGCGGGATGTTTGCAAGATATATTAAGCAGAACAGATTGGGCCCAAAAAGTTGCCAAGTTTGCAGATCTGTTGTTCAACTCTTCTGTGAAAATGAATGATGCCCCTCCTCCGGGACGTTCGTTTCCCCTGTTCGTATTGTAATTTACATGTGGGTCTGCCCCATCGCCGATCCAAAACATGAGCTCAATTCATCCCAGCTCAAGCGGCATCGATCCACCCCCGTCATCCTCTGCACAAAATGAGATGCGCGCGCTCGTTTATCACAATCATCCATGTCCAGGAATCCCCTGCAACAAATTGAAACGAAGTGCACACGCGCGCGTCGTCGCGCGCGCATGCCAGTATCTTTCAAAAACCTTAGGTTTCGTGGGGAGTTCAAAATCGAGTGTCCACAAAACACATCGAAATCACGTGGTTTCGCATGCGGATGATCCAAGAAAGCTTGCGCTCCCGACCTCGCGAATGGTAGGAAGGAAAAAAACAATAGTTTCATCATTGTCGACAAATGCTACCAAACCAAACGGGTTTTCGCGCGCGCGCATGTCGAAATCGTTCGACATCCCTTGCGCGCGTGCTGTCGCGAAGATCCTTCGCAAAACAAACGGGGCGAAGTGCACGCGCGCGCGCGCGCCGTCGCGCGCGCGTGATGAAATCAGAAAAAAAACTGGGGCTTCGTGCGAATTTCAAAAAGGAGTCTTGCGAAGCCAATCTCTTTGTAATTATATTTAAAAAACACGGTTTCGCAACAACAATGTTCAAACAAGCCTGCGCTCGCGCTCTGGCGAATTCTTGGGAAACCCATGAACATGCTCATGGGATTCTGCCGAACAGGCGTCTCGCGCCACATACCAAAATCATTCGAATGCCCTTGCGCGCGTGCTTGGGGGCGCACGATCCGTGTCAAATCGAATCACGAGGGCGTTTCTCGCGCGTCGCCCGCGCGCGCATGACGAACTCCTTCCAAAACCTTCACACCGACGCGCGGGCGCCGTCATCGTCGTCGGCGTGATCAGTATCGGCGCCGTCACTGGCCGCGCCTTGTCGTTGCCAACATCGTCACCAGCATCGCTATTATCATCATCGTGTCTACCACTGTCGACGTTGCCATGCTACCGCGTTAGCGCCGGTCGCGCCAATCTAGCTGGCCGCTGCGAGCGCGAGCATGCGCGGGCTAGCGCGGCCGCAGAGATGCACCAGCCAGCACCAAGCACTCATCGCAATCGCCTCCGCATGGGTTTTGCAAACCAAGTTGCGGGTGGGTGGGTGGGGTGATTGCGCGAGCATTGGAACCGACAACGTCAAGTTCGGCAGGGTGACTTGCACCACGTAGATTGCACCGCATAGACTGCATTGCATCGGTTGAACCGCGTGGATTGCATTACATAAGTAGCATCGCATCTATTGCACCACGTGGCTTGCACCGCGTAGACTGCAAGAGCCTACTTTTCGGGGCCCACCCTGGCTAACATATGTATATGTCATCATTTTTCGATCGGTCTACCATGTGGGACCCTGCGACCCCCACCTAAACGGGATCCTCCGGATCCCTGGCCCCAGCGGTTCCCTGGACGCTCCTGCCAAAGGTCCCCCGAGGTTGTGGGAGCTTCTGGAAGCCCAAATCGGTTAGGAGGGCGGCCGAAAAGCTCCCCGAGGAACCCCAGAGGCCCCAAACTCCCACCATACGCCCGAAAACGACCCAAAGAATACCCAGCCTTCCGAAATTCAGAAAACTATTGATTTCCAATTGTTTTTGCATGATTTTGGGAATGCTCTGTCCTTCTGTCTTCCAAGCGTCCGAGACCGCCCAGGAGGCCCGAAAACCACGCTGAAACAATCGAAAAGGGTTTCCAGGCAGTCCAAGAGATGCCAACAACGGCCCAACAGGGCCCCAAGATGGCCCAAAGACAGCCCCATGACGGTCCAAGATGGCCCCAAAACGCCCCCCGAAGCACTCCAAATCGTGACCCGGCCGTCCAGGGAGACCGCAGTTGGAAGCATGGTGGCCCGAGGAATCCCCCAGAGGCCCCCAGAAGGCGCCCAGGGAGCCTCCAGAAGACCTCAAGAAACCCTGCAAATCTTTTATGCGGCCCCCAAGAAGCTCTCCAAGGAAGAACCTCCGCAAAAGGACAGAGGAGAAGTGGGAATAATTCGCAATGGAGGACGACAATGAGGAAGAGGGAGAAGAAACATGCGGGAAGGATGCCGAAATACAATATTATGGCGACGAAGCCCGACAAGGCAACCAGGATGCATCGATAGTTGATCAGTTTTACTTTACTGCACGTCCACTGCGATTTCCGCCTGCATGCCAAAATTCAAGGACCAAGGTGCATGGCACGAAGCGCCACTGCAGTCTCGTATGTATGTATATATTATACATTTGCAGCAATGAAATAAATCACATACGTATGTATGAGTTGCTGCATGTAAGCACCCCTACATCCGACGGGGTGGATATGGTATCCAGCCCCTGCTTCAACGAATGTGTCTGCTAAATTGTTACCCTTCCAACGCGTGGCACGGGCATTTGCTTCTCGATCAGCACACAGTGTGAGGGCGGGGGAAGGAGAAATGGGGGGAGAAAGAGGCGAACGAAGAGGAGGACGGATGGGGAGTTGGATAGGGTTGGGAGGGCCTAGCACCATGAGAAGGTGGGGTAGATATTTCTCGCTGGCCCCGCGTCCTTGGGCGCGGGGATCCCGAAATAAAGCCAGGATCCGTTCTTGATGACCGAGTGCGGCTTGGGGACCTTCTCAACTACACGCTTGCCCGAATTGCCCTCATCGGGGCTGTCCATGAGCAAGAGAATGGCGTTGTGGTCCTGGCTGTCGGACTCGCATGTCCAAGACGCATTAGCCAACCCGCTCGTCCTCCTTTTCAAAACTCTTGCGTCGTGAAAGCATCACGGCGAACACATTTCCAAAAATCAAGATCTGGTGGGCGCTTCGACATCGCCATAAATCCCCGAAGGCCTCCCGTGGCCCCCAGCGGCTTCAAACAACAACAAACACCTCGACGCCCATCTCCCTCCTGCTCCTGCGTCGGGGACGGGGGCAAGAGGCTGCCGTGGCCAAAGCCGCAACAACAAAAGCATGACGTCAGACGCATGGCTATTTCGGTCAACCGCTTCTTCCTCCGCCCCAGGCCCTCGAGCGTCCATATGTTGCCCATACGCGGAGCTCCGGAACTCTCGACAAAACAATTGTATGGATTTTACGCTGGGGCGCGTTCTGTTCAGATCCTCGGGTCCATAAAGGGAGCCCTGCCTGGAGGCCCAAACTTGAATCAGCCTGGCGAAAGACCCAACAATATGCAGTTGTGAGCACCGTCGCTGTATGTACTGAATTTGGAGGAGCTCCCTGTAGGGCCACGAAACGTGTGATGGGTGTGCCGAAATTTGCCCGGCAGGCGCATGTGAGAGCAGCCACTGGGGCCGTCGGTGGAATTCCCAATGGGGCTGCGAAGCGCGTGAGAGGTGTGCCGAAATAGGTTCGGGGCGCATGCGAACGCAGACAGTGGGGCCGTCGGTGGAGCTCCCTATGGTGCCGCGAAACGTGTGAGGGGTGTGCCGAAATGGGAACGGTGGGCGCATGCGAATGCAGCCGCTGGCGCCTTCGGTGGAGCTTCTTATGGGGCCACGAAACGTGTGAGAAATGTGCCGGAATGGGCGTGGGTGACGCATGTGGGCGGTGGCACTGAGGCCTTCGGTGGAGCTCCCTAGGGGGCCACGAAACGTGTAAGGGGTGTACCGGAATGGGCGTGCGTGACGCATGCGGGCGGTGGCACTGGGGCCTTCAGTGGAGCTCACTGTGGGGCCACGAAGCGTGTGAGGGGTGATGGTGATGATGACGGCCCTGATGGTGACGATGGTGGAGATGAAGGCGGTCGTGATGAGGATGATGATGATGATGATGATGATGGTGATGACGTTGGTGATGGCGATGACGATAATGATGATGATTCTGATGATGTTTTTCAGCAGTCTCATTTCTCACGTGGTGAGGTTGGGGCGGGTCTGGGGCCGCCGCCACCCCAGAGGCCAGGAGGTACTTGTGGTCCTGGTACTCCGAGTTGTCGGTGGTTTTTTTTGGTTATTCTCGCTCAGCGCCTTCATACTGAATAGTTGCGGCTTTTGTTTCAGTGAGTGACGCGGGGCGCTGTCTCTTCAAAACGAGGACCCAACATCACAGGATGGTTGGGGAAAACCACGCCGTGATGAGTTTTTCAATTCGGCGGCGGTCTGGGCTCGGGAATCAGAATCGACCGTCCTGGGATGCGTTCCGCCCAGGATTTCGGGGGAAATCTGGCCGTGGCCACGACGAGCCTCGCCGATGCCAGGAAAAAGGCCAGGTTGAATATCAGCCTCAAGATTTCGAATGTGGAGGTCGGGCCTTCCAGGCCTCGCCCGCCCCATGGTAGCGCGGCAGCTTGGGACCAACTGGGCCCCGCTGGGGGCGCTCTTGAGGGCTTACTGGGCCATCTTGGAGCTATCTTGGAGGCTTCTAGGGCCGTCCGTCTTCGGCTGCCGGAACCCCGAAAAGTGCGAGAGCGCGAGAATCACTTGAATTTCTGCGGGTCATTAATGATTTTGGCCTCTTCAGGGTCTCCTAGACGGCCTCTTGGGGCCCTCCTGGCGTCCTCGCGAAAACGGAGCTCGTCCACGCGCTTGTCGTGGAGGTGCTGGCTCTTGTCGTCCACGATGGCCGCGTAGGCGGTGAGCGGCGACGCGCTGGCTTTATCCGCCACCGCGCCGTGCGGTCGGTCAAGGAACAGCGCCGCTAGAACATGTCCATATCTGCTGCGGCCGGGCCATGTCCCGGGGACTCGGGGAGCGGCAAGTATAGATGAATCTGCCCGCCGCGGGTGGGCAGACATCCACGCCCCCCACTCTTCGAGATCCCAGGGCACGAATCCGAAGCGGTGGATGTGGAAATATTCTGGTGGCGGAAGAGAGCGCGGTGAACGTGACCCTGGTGGTCAAAATGCACGCCAACAATCGCCACGAGAACAATCCCATAGAACAGACGCGGTCACGGAAGAAAGGCCGCATTTCTCTGGATATACAGAACATCGTGACTGCAGGCAGAGGTTACGGAAATGCTGCCGACTGTCGCTGGCTCAAACAGGGACGAGGAGGACGAGGACGAGAGAGACAGAGAGAGAGAGAGAAAAACAAAAAAAAAAAAAAAAAAAGAGGTAGAGAGAGAGAGAGAGAGTACGCGCGCACGAATGCCGTAACGAATCACATCGCTGCAGTCTGCTGCAGGCAGGGTGAAGCAGGCGGCGTCTGGCATACCAAAGGTGCCACACGAAGCGGCTTGATCTAGTCGAGGTCGTGCAAAAAGCCGTGACCAGCGATATTGCACGCAACACGAAGTGAATGTATATAAGTCCCCTGTGGCCCTGAAGGTCAGCTATAGCACGCAACAGTTCAAACAAGAGGGGAGGGCGGAGGGATACAGAAGCAGGAGTGGCATAACAAAGAGAGCGCCAAGGCAACCGCCTGGCCTATACGTCTGGCGGCGGAAACGCAACAGCGAGAAAGGAGGGAGCGGTGGGAGGTGGAGGAGGACGACGACATTTTTTCTTCCAAAATGGGGCCAAGAACGACTCAGGACGAACGAAGGACTCGGGAGGCCTCGGGGCTGGAACGACCCTGGATGCCTCAGGGCCGCTAACACGGACGGCCCAGGAGGACTTCATGACCGGCCACAGAACGACTAGGGAGACCTCAGGGCGCCCAGGAGGCCTCAGCAGGCCGCTAGCAGAACGACCAAAAAATTGACTGAAAATTCCGCGCGCCTGGTCCAGCGCCGACTCAAGGAATCAGCGCGGATCTCAACGAGCTAGTACTCATGTGCTTGACAGCGTTGATGATATCAGCTGAAGGCTCCGGGGCCCAAACGGGCCAACTGATTCCGAAAACTTGGGAGGTCGGCGGATATCACAATTAGTTCATGGCGCCACTGGTCTCGGTGGTTCCTCCCACCCTTGTGCGGCCCGATGCTTTCCCCCAACCATCCAGTGGAGTTGGATCCTCGTTCTGAGGAAACAGCACCCCGCGTTCCTCTCTCATCTCCTCTTCTCTCCTCCCTCCTCCCCCTTCTCCCTCGTCCCCCTCCTTGCCTCTGCTGTCCGCGTCAGTCTATCATGTCGGCACCCACCTCACACGCTTTCTGGTCCGGTAGGGAGCTCCACCAAAGGCCAGTGAGGAAGTTCGCACGGCACCGCCGCCCAATTCCGGCACACACCTCACACGCTTCGTGGCCCCACAGGGAGCTCCACTTGAGGCCCCAATGGGACAGTTCGCATGACACCGCCGCCCAATTTCGGCATACCCCTCACAGGCTGTGTGACCCCACAGGGTGCTTCACCTAAGGCCCCAGTGGGGGAAAATTCGCATGACACCGCCGCCCCATTTCGGCACACCACTCAAACGCTTTGTGGCCCCATAGGGAGCTCCACAGAAGGCCCCAATGGAAAAATTCGCATGGCACCGCCGCCCAGTTCCGGCACACACGCACAAACACACACACACACACAAACACACCTCACACGCTTCGTGGCCCCACAGGGAGCTCCATTTGAGGCCCCAATGGGACAGTTCGCATGACACCACCGCCCCATTTCGGCACACCCCTCACACGCTTTGTGGCCCCACAGGGAGCTCCACTTAAGGCCCCAATGGGAAAGTCCGCATGACACCGCCGTCCCATGTCGGCATACCCCTCACACGCTTTGTGGCCCCATAGGGAGCTTCACCTGATGCCCCAGTGGGAGGGTTCGCATGGCACCGCCGCGCCCATTTCGGTCCACCCTTCACATGCTTCGTGGTCACGTAGTGGGCTCCACCCAAGGCCCCATTGGCTGTCTTCGCATGCGCTCACCCCACTCGGTATAGCGTTTCGTGGCCGCGTAGGGAGCTCCACCGAGGGCCTCAGTGGCGACGTTCGCATTGCGGCCCCGCTCCATGCCGGCACACCCCTCACACGTCTCGTGGCACCATATGGAGCGCCACCGAAGGCCCCAATGGCTGTGCCCGCATGCGCCCCCGCTCCTTGTCGGCACACCTTCTAGACGCTTCGGGGCCCCATAGAGAGATCCACCGAAGGCGATACCCACAACGCCGATAGTCGCAACCGCATATGGTTGGGCCCTTCGCCAGGATATGTTTTTGGAGGGAGGGCGGTTGGCGGCAGCAGTCACGGTCTCACGCAGTAAAGCACTGGCGGGAGACGCAGATGCAATGTAGGCCTGTGACAGGAGGGAAGGCGAGGAAGGCGGCGGCCGCAAGAGGGGAAGGGGCGGGGAGGCCCCAATGCGAAACAGCGCCCCGCATTGGTTGCAGCCTCAAGGCACAAGCGTCGCGCCAGGTGAGCTTGAGGCGGGCACCCGTCGTGGCGGAGGGAGTGGGTGGAAACATGAAGCGGAAGGGAGGTTTGATAGGAGTCTGGGTCGCGGTCCGCACCACTAACAGGAAGGACGTTCGATTACGTAGATTGGGACCTCGAAGCCCGGAGATACCTGCCCTCAGCGAGCGACGGGTGCGCGCGGCAGCGCAGTTTGGGATACTCGATGAGATACTTGCGGTTCTCCCCGCGCCCCTTGCTGGCGGTGGGCGAGAGGTAGCCAGTGGCGGTTCCCTCGGGTGGTTTGGGGGCAACGGGGGAGGAAGGTGCGCAACCCACGCTCTTCTTTGCGAGATCGCCGTTGCCGACGGCGTCGTCGTCGTCGTCCTCCTCCTCCTCCTACTCCTCCTCCTCCTCCTCCTCCTCCTCCTCCTCCCCATCCTCCTTCTGTGCCCTCCCTCGGACCCCTCCGCCTCCCCGCACGGGCAAAACGGGGAGGAGGAGGATAGAGAAAGGAGGAGGAGGAGAAGGAAAAAGAATGAGAAGGGCTCCCCATTTTCTCACCCCATGTTGACTCCTGCTATCAAGCTCGCTTTTTCCTGGTCCTCCTCCTCCTCCTCCTCCTCGGCCTCGTTCATCCCTCCTCGTCGTCTTCGTCCCCCTCCTCCTCATCCTTACCTTGTTTGCCGCCTTTTCCTGCTGCTCGCCCTCAGAGCTCCTTATCCTCCACACAACTCGGCCTGCTCCAATTCATTCGCACTCCCCCTCCTCCTCCTCCTCCTCCTCTGGACGCTCTTGCAAAACTACGTTTCCCCGCACTGGGGCCCGAAAGAAAAAGCGGAAGGAGAGGGTACAGGAAGAGAAAACACGAACGAAGGACACGGGAGGGAGAGCGGGACCCGTGCGGTGGAAGACCTACTCGGGTGAGCTGCTGGCTCGACGGCGCTCAGGAGGGCATCGCAACTGAAACTGAAGCCGAAGCTGACGCGTACAGGAGCGGAAATGAGAAAAGAGGGGGAAGAGGAGGAGGAGAATGAGGAGGAGGAGGAAGAGGAGGAGGAGGAGGAGGAGGAGGAGGAGGAGGAGGAGGAGGAGGAGGAGCGGGAGGGGCGAGCGGGCAGCCGAGAGGCGGTGGGGAGACAGGACGGGCTCACAAGCCCCTCAACCTGAAGAACCATCTCCAGAAAAACGGGGCCCGCAACCGTCCGCGTTGCGCGACCCCCATGGGACAACGAAACGCGTGAGGCATGCACCGAAATGGACATGGGGGGGCTGAGGCAAGAACAGTAGGAAGGAGGGAACGTGAAGATGATATTGATGATGATGATGATGCTGATGACGATGACGATGATGACGACGACGACGATACCGATGGTGACGGTAACGATGATGAAGATGTCGACGATGATGACTGGCGTGACGAAGCAAACGTGCGGAGGGCAGAGGCAGGGATGGGACGAGAGGGAAGGAGGAGGAAGGATGCATGAGAACTCGTGGCGCTGTCTCTTCGAAACGAAGACGCAAACCCACATGATGGTTGGGAGCGGTTCAAACATGCTCCTTCTCTGGTGGCTGCACATCTGGAACAATTTCCTGTGGAATTATTCCTCCTCCTCCTCATCATCCTCCTCCTGATCCGTCCCTTCTCACTATAATTTACTCCTCCCTGTCGCACCCCGAGGCCATGCGAAAGGGCGGGCCAGGCGTTTCACCTGAGGCTTCTTCACCACGTATGGCCCTGAGGCTTGAAAATTATCAATAGCTTCGCAGATGGAGGGCGGGTCGCTTCCAACATGTGGCTCTCGCCTTGGCGCCCCGCACATTCGGCAACAAAAACTGCAAGGGCTTCTAAACCGTGTAAGGGGCCTGTGAAGAGGGAGCTTAGAGGGAGGTCTATTACATCATCGTTGATGCGTCTTGGATTTACACTGGTCCTTCTCCTCCTCCTCCTCCTCCTCCTCCTCCTTGGGGGGGGGGTCCACTGGTCCTCCTCCTCCGCCTTCTCCTCCTGTCCTCTCTGTTCCATCCTCGTCATCACCATTCCAGCGCCTACCCCCGTCCTTCTCCTCTTCCCTGACCTCCCCATCCCCATCCTCCTCCACGTCGTCCTCCCCATGTAAGCTATCCTCCTCCTCCTCCTCCTCCTCCTCCGCCTCCACCCCCTTCTCATACCCCCTCCCCCCTTTGCTCCTCCACCTCCCACGACGCCAACGTGGACGGCAACGACAAAGACAACGACGAGCCCGCACCTCCGAGAAATTCCGAGCACGCCCAGGAACGTCAAAAACAGAACACATGACAATGAGCGCGGACATCAGAGAGCCTTCGAGAACGTCGAGAACGTTCAGAATGCCCCCCCACACAAATTCGAAAAGGACGAAGAGGGAATTGCGTGGACGACGACGACGACGACGACGACGACGACGGCGACCACGACCACGAAGACTACGGTCCCCCGACCCTCCCGAGGTCAATCCTGGCCAACACCCCAGATCAATCTGGGGCGGCCCCTGGGCCTCCAAAAACCGGCCCCAGGGGCCGACACTTGTGAAGACAATTCTTCGAACCTCGATCAACGATCGACCGACGACGACAGAGTGTGGGGCCTCCTCGCTGTCTGGGGGAATCTCCTGCTGCACTTTCGCAGTGGACCATCTGAGCTCGGGGTCGGTCTGGAGCAGCATGAGCATCGCCATCTTAAGGTCCTCCTCGACGGTGGGCGGGGGAGGGTAAGGACTGAGGAGAATCGACCATAAATCGTACTAGAAGTCTCTCCTCGATTTCGGCCTCCACGGGCCCGTCTCGTGCCCCAGAACCCAGAGCAGTCAACGTCGATCCGGGGTGATGAACTGGGAAACGTGAGGCATGGACCGTTGCGGGGGGATAGTAACCCTCTTTGATACGGAGATGGTCCGACAGGAAGAAGGAAAGGTTGGAGGATCCATTTCTTGTTTGGCCTCTGGAGGTATCCCGAGACCTCAAGCGACCTCCTCGAGGAGAAGAGGGGCAATAATGAGAATGAGAAGGAGTAGGATAATCTTTAAGTATGTGGGAGGCTGTTGGATGTCTTGAGGTTGCCGAATATGTACGGTCATCGAGAGGTCGTCTTGGAGGAGGAGGAGGAGGAGGAGGAGCTTGCCGGCCACCCTCGGGACGCAAGGCTGGGAAGCTCCTTGCTGGACTGCTGACGTGTGGTCAATGTGTTGTCTTTTGCACTTTGTCTCCTGTCTCTCCAGTCGACTCTCATATCTACCGATATCCTCAAGGGGGGTCCGCCACGCCAGACAAGCCACTGAGATGGTGTCCCTCAAATTCCTGAACACCCGAGGTCGCTCCAGGATTCTTGGAGAGATGCCTCCGTGCGGCCAGGAGGGTCCAGGACGCTCCGAATACGTTTCTAGGACGAAGCAGGGCTTCAAGAGCCCAAGATGGTCCCACCCAGAGGGCCCCAAGATGCGCCAGCTGTTACAAACGGGCGAGCTACATGTTTTACCCCGCAACAATGGCAACGAAGGCTTCGCATCTGATGTCAACCACCACGCGTGTGATCTCCGCGAGTCAGCCCGGCGAAATGTAAAATTTAATGCTCCGCCGTTGCGGGCGTCCGAATCCGCAGGCGGCCCAATGCAATGTGGCCCAGAAACGGCCCAAGAGGCCCCAAGAGATCCCCGAGAGGGCCCACATATTGCCAGGAAGGGCCCCCCAAGAATGTAGAAGAGGGCCTCGAGACGGCCAGTAGAGCCCCAAGAGGGTCCCCAAAGACACTCAAGACTCAAGACGGTGAAGAGGGGCCCAGAGAGTGCCCCAACACGGCCAAAGAGGGACCCAAGACAGCCCGTGGAGGGCCCAAGAAACCTGCAAGAGACACCAGGACGTCTCTCTGAAAAAGCCCCGCAGAGGCCTCCAAGAAGACCGAAGGAGGGCGCCAAGTGGGCCTCATCAGGAGAAATGGGAAGACGAGGAGGAGGTTTGGGGACCAGTGTAAACCCAAGAGACACCAACAATGTTGGAATAGACCCTCCCTCCAAGCTCCCTCTTCATAGGCCCCTGCAACGGTTCAATTCCACTGAAGAAACTGCCTCGTTGGACGACAATCGTTTGAAGACCCTGAAACCTGCCAAAACATGTTCCTCGGGACTCCAACGCCACGGATCAACCTGACGGTTGCGTTTTCACGATCCTGAATCGTGCCCGAGAGCCTTTCCTGGGAGTTCAACCTCGCCAATCAACGTAACCGTGGCGCCCTCCTAATCCTGAACCTCTCGAAAACATCACTTCTGGAATGTTTCAAACGAATGTGCACGGCGCGAGAACCACATTTTGAAACATGAGCCGCCCTCAACCCGTAAAACTCTTGCAATGTTTAAAATGAATCTGCGCGGCGCTGGGGCGAGAACCACATTTTGAAAACCACCCGCCCTAAATCCGTGAAGCTCTTTGCAAATCTTGTTCGAAATGAATGTTTGCGGCGCTGAAGCGAGAACCAATTTGAAATCCAGCGGCCCTCAAGCCGTGAAACTGAAGCCACTTTTTAAGCTCCAGGGTCATACGTGGTAAGGAAGACTCAAGCGATTCAGGGACTTATTTATAAGGAAAAGTGATTGAGAACGCCCTTAGAGCCCCCGGGACTCTCCAAAGCCTCCAAAATGACGGCCCCAGCAAAGCTCCAAGATGGCCACGAAGACGCCCTCAATATGGGATTGAACAGCAACCCGAATCATAGTATATGTATTAACATATGAATACATGTATGCATACAGTTACGTGTATATCTATATACAACTGTATGTACACATGTATATTTATTATATATATGTGGTCCACATAGGCATACAACGTGTCTGCTCACACGTGCGTAACCTGATATATGCATACATATATATATATATGCATAAATATACACAAATGTATGTGTATATGTATATGTATATGTATATGTATATGTATATGTATATATGTATATATACATATATATATATATATATCAGAGTGAGGGGCCCCGAACGGTCATACTGTCCCTGGTTGCGTGGCTGAAGTGGGGATCCACGGCGAAGATTCTTGGTGTTGTTTTGTTTCGTCGTTCCCCCCCCACCCCCGCTCCGCGACCCACCCGCGACCCACCCGCGACCCGCCCGCGACCCACCCCGCGACCCACCCGCGACCCACCCGCGACCCACCCGCACGAGCCACCCGCGACCCACCCACGACCCACCCCGCGACTCACCCGCGACCCACCCGCGACCCACCCGCGACCCACCCCACGACCCACCCGCGACCCACCCGCGACCCACCCCGCGCCCGCACCCTCACTCTTATCCGCAATTGCGGGGTGCTACGTGTATCGGAAGTTCTGGGGTGAGATCGAAGTGGAACGGAGAGCCCCCCTACCGGGAAATCGATTTCGGTTTCGTGCTTGTGCCGTGCGTGCGGGCGAGGCGAAGCTGCGTGGGCGGGGGAGGGGGAATTCTCCTGTGGCTGGGCCGCGGCTGCACCAAAAGGTTCTCCGCCCGGCAACCGGTGGCGCGCGGTGTCCCGCCGGTGTCCCGCTGGTGTCCCGCTGGTGTCCCGTCGTGGCAAGGCCGCGGCCGGACCAAAAAAGGTTCTCCGCCCGGCAACCCGTGGCGCGCGGTGTCCCGCCGGTGTCTCGCTGGTGTCCCGCCAGTGTCCCGTTGTTGTCCCGTGGTGAGATCGACAGTGAGATCGGTAGTGATATCGATGGTGAGAGCGATAATGAGACCGATCGTGAGATCGCTCGAACATGAGATCGACAGTGAGACATCGATAGTGAGATCTATAGTAATATCGATCGTGATATCGATAGTGCGATCGATAGTGAGATCGATCGTGAGATCGATCAAAAGGGATCGGTAGCGAGATCAACAGTATAGTGATATCGACAGTGATCTCGATAGTGAGATCGATAGTGAGATCGACAATGAGACCGATCGTGAGATCGATAATGATATCTATCGTGAAAGATCGATAGTGAGATCTATAGTGAAATCGATCGTGACATCGATAATGATATCGGTAGTGAGATCATCGATAGTGATATCGATCGAGTGGGATCGATAGCGAGATCGAGAGTATAATCGATAGTGAGATGAATAGTGAGATCGAAAGCGAGATCGATAGTGAGATCGATAGCGAGATCGATAGTGGGATCGAGAGTGGAACCGATAGTCTCGATAGTGAGATCGACAATGAGATCGATTGCGCCGGACGCCCGCACCCGCTGGTGCCAACGTTCCGATGCTCGACCGCGCGGGGCCGGAAAAGCAGCAAGCGTGCGCCATCCCCGAAAGGCTCCGAAGAGCCCCCCAAGAGCCCCCCAAGAGGTCCAAAGGACGCGCCCAAACGGCCCCCCAAGCCCTTGCAAAATGAACGAAATAATTTATGATTTCGTTGGTTCCCGGGGGAGGGGGGGAATGATACCAAGGCGCCCAAGAGCGAAAGGTAACGTAAACAACTCGACACCAAGGCTCCCAAGAGCGAGCGGCAACGCAACGATCTCCACTGGCATCGTCAGAACAACATTCACCACTGTTGCCCATTGCTGGCCCCCTCCCCCCCCAACCTCCTTATCACCCGCATGGTGGTCGTATAGGTATATCGGAGGTGAGGGGGTGAGATCGAAATGGAACGGAGAGCCCCCCTGCCGGGAAATCGGTTTCGGTTTCGTGTTCGTGCGTGCCGTGCGTGCGGGCGAGGCAGAAGCTGCGTGAGCGGGCGAGAAATAAGACTCCTGTACCTGAGGCGCGGCCGGACCAAAAGTCTCCGTTCTGGCAACCGGTGCCCCGAGGTGTCCCGCCGGTGTCCCGCTCGGGGGCCGGTGGCGTGCGGTGTCCCGCTGGTGTCCCGCCGGTGTCCCGATGAATATGATGTTGATGATGTTGACGATGATGATGATGATGATGCTGCTGATGATGATGATGATGATGATAGTGGTGGTGGTGATGATGATGGTGCCCCGATGATGATGATGATGATGATGATGATGATGATGTTGGCGATGTTGATGATGGTGATGATGGTGATGATGATGGTGCCCCGATGGTGATGATGATGATGCTGCTGATGATGATGATGGTGCCCCGATGATGATGATGTTAGTGATCATGATAATGTTGATGATGACCATCTGATTTAATGATGATGATGGTGAAGATGATGATGATGGTGTTCCGGTGATGACGATGATGGGGTTGATGAGGATGCTGTTGATGATGATGGTGACGACGATGGCGATGTCCCGATGATGATGGTAATGATGATGATGGCGATGATGGTGCCCCAATGATGATGATGATGATGATGATGATGATGGTGTTGATGATGATGATGAGGTGATGATGATGACTTATATGATGGTGGGCCAGTGATGGTGATGATGATGATGATGTTGATGATGATGATGATGATGATGATGATGATGATGATGGTGACCCGATGTTGTTGATGATGATGACGGGGATGATGATGATGATGGTGACGATGATGATGGTGTTCCGATGATACTGATGCGGTTGCTGATGATGATGGTACTAATGGTGATGATGATGGTGTCACGATGATGCTGGTTATGATGGTGTTGTTCATGATCATGATGATGAGATGGTGGTGGTGATGGTAATGTTCCGATGATGATGATGATGATGGTGCCCCGATGATGTTGATGTTGATGATGACGATGATGATGGTGACGATGATGGTGTCCCGATGGTGATGATGATGGTGATGATGATGGTGTTGATGGTGATGGTGATAAGGTGGTGATGGTGGCCCGGTGATGATGATGATGGTGATGACGCTGATGACGCTGATGACGATGATGTTGATGATGATGACGTTGACTGTGATATCGAGTGTGATATCGATAGTGAGATCGATAGTTAGACCGAATGTGAAATCGATTGTGGGATCGATTGTGAGATCGATAGTCAGATCGTTAGTGAGATCGATCGAATGAAATAGAT